GTCACCGATCAGGTCCATCGGCAAACAGACCCACTCTTGTAGCCACGCGTATCGGTGGCCAATGGCGGCCGACAGTAGAAAGCGTGCGGAGTCGATGAGGGTAATCACTTTGATGATGGTTATACTGAACGTACGCCACGGCCGCACAGAGCGTCCGGACTCGTACTCATCCAGCGAGTGATTAAGCGATAGATACATTTGTTTTGTGAAACGCTCTAATTTTGCAATACCAACTGCCGGGTCGTAACTGATCCATCCTTTTATCAATAAGTACCTGGTTATTTTGCCGATTATAAATTTCAGCAGTCGTATGAAAATTGATTGCTTTTTCACCTTAAACGGATTGTCATCACCCAAAATGAACCGGTTATTAATGATTTCACTCGTGTATGTGTCCATTGGTGATGATAATGATAGTAACTTCATTATAAATTATTGTAATTTCTTAAAATTATTATTACAACAAAACAATAATTATTATTTAAATTTATTTAATAATGATGATAATTTTTAATATTTTTAAATTTATCAATAGTATTTTCAATAAATTTTATTTATAAAGTAAAACTACTGTATTGCTAATACTATTAATTATTGCTAATAAAAATATTGTAAAATATATTTTATTTTAAAAAGTGTTTTATTATAAAATCAATAGCTCGGCACGTGAAGGTTAATTATTTTTAATATAAATAAATTGATTTTAGAATGCTATATGATTTTAGAATATATAAAACGAATATCATAAACATGCACCATCATCAAATGCTAATAAAAGTACTTTAAGTAAAAAATCAATAACATGTTCTTCATGGCATTTTAAATAATATTGAGTAATTAAAATATTTGATGCATTCAATTTTATTGATTTTTATATGTTATAAGATAATAAACAGTTAACTAATGATGATTATTTATATTTTTTGTAAGGTTTTTAAATTTATAAATTAATAAGATATTGATTAAATAAATATTAATTGCTAATATGAATATCGTGAACTATATTTTATTTTAAGAGGTGATTGCAAAATCAATAGCTCGGCACGTGAAGGTTAATTATTTTAAATATAGATACATTGATTATCAAGGTATATAGACTTTTGTTTTAAGTTCAGTTTTATTTAATATATAATAATTAAAAAATTCACATTCAAATATTCTTTTATTCGTGGATTACAAAAACAATTGTCATTTATTATATAGTAATCATAAATACAGAATAATCTATAAATATTTTTACTATCACTATCATTAATCAAGTTAAAAATATTATAAACCAAATTTAAATTCGTATTATTTTATAATTGTTATCTAGATATCATTATAAATATACATTATTTCCATGCGCCAGCATAATATGAAAGTACTTTATGAAAGTACTATAGTTTGTACTTTATTAAGTTTTGTTAATTTAAATATAAAGAGGGTAATATTTTTAAAAATATTGATAATTTAATTGAACGTGCAACGATGTCCCTGTACAGTTTTAAAGTATAAAAACAGTAAATAACAATAATAAAAGTGTATCAATTGTGGTCAGATTTTGTGGTCAAATATTATAACTCATGGCTTGAGAGAAATTATCTGAACATTCAAATGGAGTACTGCTCTCAAAGTCTTAAGACAATACTTGTGGACAAACCAAATTGTCATGGTGATTTATATAATTTTTAGTTTAAATACCACTTCAACGAGAGCAATTGATTTTTAGCTGTTTTATGATTGTTTAATGTAAAATGAGACATTAATTATATAATATAAAATGAGCTGCATTTAAAATAATGATTTTTGGCATTTATAAAATAAAACATTTTGATTTCATATACTGTTTTATCGATTTATTGAATTTACATTAATGATAATATACGTGACTTTAAAAATTATTATTAAAAACTAGGGATTTTAAAATTATATTATTATTTTTTCAAAATATCTCATTAATATAATGTCGTAATTATGAATATAATTAAAGCGTATATTTTATTAACAAGATACCGAAATACTTTTATCCCAGTTAATCACGTGTTAATGATTTATGATATCTAAAATAAAATCTAACATCTTCATTTCATTTACTGTGATATCGATTTAATGTATAAACATCAGTGAATAATATAGTTGGCTTTGAAAATTATTTTTAAAACCAAGTTCAAACATTATATTCGTAATTTTACAAAGTTATGATTATGCAGAAAATCAAGCCGTATATAAGATTAACAACTGATCGAAACCCCATTAAACCTGCTAATCACGTGTTTATAAATTTTTATCTAGATGCTTTTGAAAAACGAATAAATAACCAAAATAGTTATCTATCAAAATTATACGGTTATGTATTTGAATTAATATACGGCATTTTAATTGTAAAACTCAGCCTGGGCATTTTCTATGACTTAAGTTACGAAACAAGATTATTCTTATTTGATTTAACCGTATTTTTTGGTGGGGTTCAAGAATTTAATATGATATTTTTACTTTTATATTACGTTGACGCCTTCCTCATAAATCATTGGGTGTTGTTGTCAAAGTCAGATAATGTACACATTATTGTAGAGATATTTGATGTGATTAGACAGCGTAATCGCCCGATACCTGTATACCTGGTCACCACTGATCGGTCACCAATCAGACATATCAACAAAATTTTAAAATATTTTTATAAATTATTATATGGGTTACCTATGACATCAGGTAAGGTCTCTCTCTCTCTCTCTCTCTCTCTCTCTCCCCGTATGTTTGTTGGCTGCTGAAGATTGGTTGACATTGTTGTTATATTATGGTTTATTATTGGCTATGCATAGATTTGTTTATAAAAGCTTTAACAATTTTAATTAGCTATTTCATTACACATACGTCTAATGAATCAAAAAAGTTATAACTATTTTTCCTGAATCTCTCTCTCTCTCTCTCTCTCTCTCATAAAATTATATTGATGAAATTAATAATGGTATTTATATCCCAAATGAATAGTATTATGCACACTACTTTTATACATCTTCGCTATATACCAATTATACACCATGGACCAATTCCTGTACGCATTACCCTCAGTAATAATCACTCTATCAGCATGGTCGCATATATACTACAATTCGTGTATACTGCTGTTAATATTTGGTACTTTGATATACTACTTATTTCTGCGTATAAAACATATCAATACACACCTACAAAATGCACCGGCAGTACATGAGGGTCGGCACCGGGAACTAACACATACGCTCGTACGTTACATGGATGAGCATGATCACCTGTGCAACACTTTGAAGATGGTTAACGTGTGTTGCAATATGTTGTATATGTTGATCCAATTGACCATATATCCAATATCATTGATCATGATGCATCAATTGTTGTTTGAGGCAAATCAGGTGCCGTTACCGTTGCAGTTGTTATATTTAGTTGGTGTGGCGACGACATGGTTACTGCTATTCGGAGGTCAGTATGTGTTGGCCTCGTATTCACAGCGTTTGCATAAAATGCACAAAAAGTTATCACGACTTCCGGGGCAGTAACATAATGGTCACCGACAAGGGTCTGGTTCTGATTCAATGGTGTATAAATGGAGGCGTTTTTCGCATGAGATTTAAGCTTAAGTTAATGATGTGTTTCGAGAGACTCAGCAATAGTCGGAAACTGGGCTTTAATATCGGCCACTGGTTTGTCATGACTTTTCCCATTTTCATGAAAGTATACATAATTGATCATGTTTATGAAATAATTTTTAAATATTACTTTTTCTCTATAGAGTGTTATATTGTATTTCCGATATTTTCTATTAACACATAAATTTGCCAATAAATTCAAAATGTAATTATTTCACTTAACGTTTTATATTAAATAATAAATAGTTATAAGTGATCAATAGCTTACGCGTGAGCACAGGTAGACGCCGTCCCCTCAAAACAAGTCAATCCGATGAGAGATTGATTGTTGACTTCAATACAATTATTGGCAAAACGGGGAAAAGTGTATTGCTTTCAATATAGCGTTCATTTCTATCAAAAAGTATTTCAATTTTAAAGTGTTTTTTAAGAAAACATTGATTTTTATTTCAATTTGAATTTCACAATCAATTAAGAAGTTTTATTACAACTTATTCTGACATGCATAATTAACTATATGATATTGCAATTACTAAACCTTAGATAGACAAATACACAATAATTAATAATTATTTAACTTTAAACATGTTATTAAATTAAACAAACGTTATTTAAATGAATATTAATTAGCATAAATTTACGGCTCTACTGTAATAAAAATTGAACAAGTTATAATAAAACATTAACAATTCGTAAAACAATAACAATTACTTAATAATTAATTTTTTAAGCGCTTTATAAATGCTTAAATTATTGACAGAAATTGTGACAATTGTCTGGTCATCAAAGGGCAAATCGGCGCGTATGTCTTGGTCAGTCCAACTGACCACCATGAGCAAATATGCAAACATCACAAACACCTTCACCTCGCGGACCATACTCTGCACATCCGGACACTTGTGGCCACCGGTCGACAGGCGCTGGCATTCATTGAGATAATTCTTGACGAAAGACTCGATCAGTGGTTCCAACGGAAAGGTGTCCTCAAAGTTGTCATCACTGGTCAGGAAAGTAGAGAAAAACAAACCGAAATCAAAGCCCCGGTGAGCGTAAGCCGAGTAGTCAAAGTCGCACAGAACCAGACCCTTGTCGGTGACCATTATGTTACTGCCCCGGAAGTCGTTGTGCCCGAAGACCAGTGGACTGTCACCGAAATGCTTCCCGATATAGTTCAACACCCATTGTATCTCTCCTTTTAGATCAAACTCGTCTAATGTCTGGCCGTTGTTTCGCTGGTAAAGCTCTCGGAGCTCTTTGACCACCGGTTCGGTCATTTGGGCCGCTATTACTGCCATGTAATTTAAATGCGCGCACCGATCACGACGTATGGGCGCTCGTATGGCGTGGAAACGGGCCAACTGTCGGCCCAATTGATCCATAAGTTCACTATTATTGAGATCATTTCTGTCAAACGGCCGGTGCTTTACATACTGTAGTACTTGTCCGCTGGGGTCGAGTCCGTACAGTCGCGGCCCAATGCCTAACGACGAGATCAGTGCCGCTGTAATCGTGTCATTGAAGCGCGGATTTTGCGGATCAAAGCTTTTGTTGTCGTATTTCTTGCCATACAATCGGATGGCAACTTCGTTTACTACCTCCCGGTCCCCCTCCCGGTCCGCCTCCCGGCCCACCATTTGTTTCTGGCCCTCAATCTTGTCAATGATTTCGCATAAATACAACTGATTAGTGAGACCTCCGGTGAGACGAGTGGTACGGATGCGATCGGCGGTCAGTTGAGTCCAAACGCCCGACAAATACTTTTGACACAATTGCAGACATTTCTCGTTGATATCCACCGGTTGTTCACCTTTTGTTTGACCCGTAAATGAGGCGCTAATCGATGACCAATCGGTTACCGTATTATCTCTTGATTCAGACATTTTACTTGAAATTAAATGAAAATTAAATACTATATTAAACTTAAAACCCAAAATACTTGCCTAAGACATCCACTAAAATTACTTATGGATAAAATACTGCAAATATGTTTTTGTACTTAATTAATGTAATTAATTAACATTAAACTGCATAGAGACGTACAGTTTTAACAGTAAAGCACATAAACAGTAAATAACTATAATAGGATTTAATTTTATTTTAAATAATGTTTAAATTTTTAAAATTTTATGTTTACTGTCAGTTAAAAGGCATTTAAATAATAAAAACTTGAATTATAATTGTAGTAAATGTAAAGAATCTTAAATTTTAAATATTGCGATCATTAATCATAAAGTTGATAATGATTGCATAATTGTCAAATAAAATTGTTAACGCAAATTGTTTTACTCTTATGATAAAAATTACCTAATATGACTTTTTAAGTCATTATTTTAAGAATATTAAAATAATGTAATTTCAATAAGACTTAAATGATTAAGATTTGTTTATTATGGCTTTATTTACATAGATTTGTTCTTTATCTACAAATAATTTGTAATATAAACATGAAAATATAATAAAATAAAGATTACCTGAACTAGTTCAAGTGGAAAATTGAATAAATACATTAAAACAAATGTTAAAAATAACTATAAAAACTCACTACAAATAAGTCGTCCTAATTATGATTAAAAGTTTATACAAATGAAATTTAAATAATATAAAACTAACTAATAAACAAACTAGCTCAAGATATTAAAACTAACCCTCATTGGCTGTAATAGCATCATAGGGTAGATGTGGTAAATTAGCGATAACTGTGGCCGACATGGGCGGAGTCATTGGGCGCAGGCGTCGGCCCCGCATAGTGTCGGCACATTTCTCGGCGATGGCCACAATCGGGGCGTTTATATTGCCGGACACGGGCGCGGGTATGACCGACGCGTCCACCACACGTACACCCGTCACACCCACCACCCGGAGCTGTAGGTCCACCACAGATCTTGGGTCCCCTATTGGGCCCATACGGCAGGTGCCCATTGGGTGGAAAATGATCGACGTGTACACCTGTGCCGTACAGCGCAGATACGCATCCGAGTACAGGGGCTGTTGGTCACAGGTGGGGTACCGGTCGGGTATGGGCGTAGCGTTGTATCGCTGTAGGGGCGGCGCCCGGGCTATAGCCAGCGCCAGTTTCATGCCCTCCACCAATACGTCCAGATCGTGGTCTACGGCAAAAAACTGGGGGTCAATCGCCGGGTGCTGGAAGGGGTTGGCCGACCGGAGCCGGACTGTGCCGCGCGATTGGGGCCGCAATAGTGTCGGTAGGATTGTGACGGCCGGTAGGCCTGAGTAGGGCTTGAATACGGCAAATAGTTCGTCGGTTAAGCCCTGGATTTTGCGCAACCGTAGCCCGTAGTCCGATGCGACCGACCCTATGGTTACACAAACATTGTTTTATTAAAGGCAAAGGTAGTAAGTTATGGCACCGGTATACCGGGCAACACGTGGTACTGTATGTCCGGCCAGTCGTCCGTCTGATTGGCGTACTTGGTCTTCACAAAAGCCATTGTGTCCAATATAGTGCTCGAGAGGCTATTGTCTTTGTTCACATAATACTGTAGTACATGCCATGGACTGGACTCCCGGAGCACGTCGTACGACACGGACTCGTTCAACGTGAATGTCACACTAGTGGCCACGTGGTCCATCAGATTGTCGCCAACTGGCCTGTCCGAGAGCACCGGTACGTTCAGCGAGGCTAGATGTGCCCGGTGCCCAATACCTGTGTTATTTTAAAAATGCTTAGAAATAATATAGTAGTTAAACAAATTAATAATTAACAACTAATCCCATACCCGATAGCATCAGTAGTTTGGGCGACATGACAGCGCCGGCCGACACGATCACCTCCCTGTCCACTCGCACCACTCGTTTGACACCCCATCGCACAAACTCCACACCAGTGGCCCGTTTCTCGCAATCAAACAGTATTTTTGTCACAAAACTCTTGGTAAAAATATGCAAATTTGGCCGCTGACCAGCCACCGGCTCCAAGTAAGCCCTGGCCACTGACATGCGCTCACCATTAACTATAGTAACTTGTGGGAACTCAAACACCGACTGAGTGGCACCGGTAGAGCTGCCTATAGGATAGCCAACGTATGGTCCACTGGCTTTGAAAGCCTGGGACACCCGTGAAGTATATAACTCGTTAGACACAGTAAGCGGGCCACCTCTGCCGTGATAACCGCTGGCCACCCTTGTTGGGTCCATGTTGTTTTCGGCCTTGATGAAATAGGGAAACAAGTCAGCCCAAGACCAGCCAACGGCCCCCTCCTGGGAGGCCCAGTGGTCGTAATCGCGGCGATTGCCGCGCGAGTAGATCATAGTGTTGAGCACCGACGAGCCGCCCATCACCCGACCCCTGGGCCACAGACTTCGCCGGCCTCTAAGCCCTCGACACGACTTGTTTTGCGGTATAGTTTTGAATTGCCAGTCGATGGGTGTCTGTTGTAATAGCAGTGCCATCCGTGGTATGTCTGAGATAACCCATTCCGGGCCACCGGCCTCCAGCAATAGTACGGTTCGGTTTGGGTTTTCCGAGAGTCGACTGGCCATCACTGAGCCTCCGGTTCCGGCGCCGATCACCACGTAGTCATAACTCGGGAGCATCTGATGGGTGTCCACGTATGACATGTGCTGTTTCTGGCTTTGAATGATGTATAGTATGACAGCCGGTATGAACACAAAGTATGGGACGGTTGGCGGCAGTCCGGCCAACGATCGTACCATTGAGTTCATTAGCCGCGCGAAATACATGATGGTTGAGATGGGGGTGAACTAATAGACACCAGTGGCTTTTGATGAGGGTTAAAACGCGGTGAAATTGTGGTAAAATTGAAGTTATTTCTTAAACATTTAACACTTTTGTTGTCTTACAATAGCAATATTTTTTGATAGTTTGCTTTACTCGTTAAGAGCACGAGTATGTGTGCAGTAGTTGCCAGGTATGACCCATGAGGTGCCTATTGTGTTAATTTGGCAATAATTAATGTACTTGGAATTTATTTTTACATTTATAATGTTGAACATGATAAAAGTTGGCATTTAAATACAAATATAGTAATATTTAATAAATAAAATATTGAACAATAAAACATTTAAAATGTTAAAATAATTTCCATTGACTGTGCATTCAATGCTAGTTTTATTTTACTTAATACACACATATCACTAATTAGTTAATGATTAATAAGTTTAGTTACAAATCACTGTTATTTTCAATGGAAAATGTATAACAAAATTATCACTTTAACTAAAACTTATAGATTTATAAAATTGGTAATAAATACCAAAAATTGTTAATCATTTGCTATAAAACCTTAACTATATTTAGATATAAATAAAATATTTTTTTACCGGTACTTAAAACTTAATTATTAATAAATGTTTGTTGTGTTAAAGTAACAAATTAAAAATGTGCTAAAAAGTGAATTTAAAGTTATATTTTATTAATAAAAATACAGAATTCATTTCATTTTACAAAAATTAACACAAAATATAAAAATATGCGAAAATTAATAAAAATATTCAATTATCTATAACAAAAAAATGAGTGTTATTTTCAAGACTAGTTGATAACCATGTTGTTTGGCACCTGTATGTAATTGTATAAGTGCGAGTTTATGTATTACTTAACAATATAATAAATCATTTTACCGTAAGGTAATACATAATAAATCTTTGCATAATGAACTATATTTGAGTTTTAAAATATTTAGGGCATTTACGATGGATTAAAAAACAAAGTAATATGTGATAAACCATGAGAAGTTTTTAATATATACACAGGGATTAAACACTTTAATATCCGGGATTAAGCAAGTGGATTAGGATTTAAAAACACATGTAAATGATTAATGTACTTATAGTTGTGTAGTGTTTTTGAGCTATTTATCATGAAATTGTGCGAAGTGTGTGAACATGATATGGAGGCTGAGACATAAATTTAATTAAAAGTGTAAAAATAAAAAACAAACCATTTGAGAGCAACAAACTAATTAATAAATTGTTTAAATATTTACAAACAATTATATTACATTTATCTAATATTTTACCATCATATTGGTATAACTGATATATGTTTGCCTTTGGATATTTCTAGTGTAGCTAGGATAGTGAAATTAATTTTATAATTTAGGTTAACATTCCTAGGCATCAGAAACCAAGTTTCATAAAGATCGGATGATTGGTGTTTGTACTGGAAATTTTTAAACGAAGTCAGGCAGAATAATGTATTCCTATGGGAAGGTGTCTATTTTTGTGATTACCGACGGTTGAAATCGTGTATTAATTGATCGTGTTTAAACAATAATAGAGATAATAGAAATTCCCTACTCTTCCAATATCGTCAATATCTAATGTATATAACCATATCATAATCAATGTCCAACTCTGACCAGTGCCTGACTTGTGGCCACTTGATTATCNCCTAGGAATGTTACCTTAAATTATAAAATTAATTTCACTATCCTAGCTACAATAGAAATATCCAAAGGCAAACATATATCAGTTATACCAATAGATTACTTTTCTGTGTAAAGTATGTTTTGACTTTAACTGTAGCGCAAACTTTAACATTAAATTTTTTAGTCTACATTAAAACATTACTGTACATTAAACAAACAACAACATCACTAAAGTATCATGGGCGAACAAAGGTATCACCTCACTAGATTGTCATCCCAGTGCTCGTACGGCAAATTGGGCAACTGTTTAATCATATCGGGTGTCATCGGGGGTAAAAACGGGGTCAACCTTCTACCTCGCATCTGATCCGCGCACTTCTCGGCGATCATAAGTGTGGGTGCGTTGATATTACCGGTGGGCACAGTAGGCATAACCGAGGCGTCCACTACTCTTAACCCGTGAACACCTCTAACTCTTAACTCGGTGTCCACCACAGCCGCGGGGTCAGACTTGGCGCCCATTTTACATGTGCCGCACGGGTGCCACCCGATGGTGGTGTACACGCGGGCCGCGCACCTGAAATACCCGTCCGAGTATAGTTTGTAATGCTCGCACCCGGGCCACGCTGTTTGAAACGCCTGGGCCCCGTACCGTTGCATGGCCGGTGTTTGCGCAAGGTTATAAGCGGCTTTCATGCCCTCTACCAGTACGTTTAGATCTTGGTCGTCTTGGAAGTATTTAGGGTCGATTAGAGGTTGCGTGTAGGGGTCGGTACCGGCCAGTCGTATCCAACCGCGCGATTTTGGTCGTTGCAGTACCACGTAGATGGTGAATGTATTTTGACCTAGGTATGGTTTGAATACTTGTTTCCATACTGATTTTTTGATGCCCTGGATCTTTTGCATTCGCAGCCCAAAGTCTGATGTTAATGAGCCTGTATATTATGGAGAGGTCAGTAATAATTAGTTTTATAATGGTTGATGGTGTAAATACTAGTATGATAATACTGATATGCTAGGTAAATTTTATTGGTGATGTTTTTAAAAAATTTAAATAGTATATTTAAACTAAATTATGTAATCAATGTTTTGTAGATAGGCCATTTAAACAGTTTTGATTACAATATGAAACTAATTATTATTAATGTAATTTAAAGTAAATTATAATAATTAATTTTTTACATACCAGGGAGCATAAAAAACTGTATATCTGGCCAGTCATCTAGTGGGTAATTGTACTTGGTCTTTATATAACCGGTTCCCTCGTCTATATTTTTGGCCAAATTATTCTTCCTGAAGAGGAAGTACTCCATGACATACGAGGGCTGACTCTCTGTCAGAAAGTCTATACCAATGGTCTCATTGACGGTGAAGAAGACACCGCTGGACACGTGTTCCTGAAGATTGTCACCCACTCTCAGGTCCGATATAACAGGTATGCCCAATGAGTCCAGGTGCTTTTTTGGTCCAATGCCTTACATAATGATAATTTTATTATTATTTAATTTAGAAAAGTTATTAGTTATAAAATAGATTGTATTAAAATGTTTAATTACAATAACTAATAATTTATAAATAATAAATTAATTAGTAAATAAATAAATAATTGAATTAAACCTTCTATTTTTGTTGTAAAAATACTACAACAAAATTTTGCTTGAATTTAAACTTAAAACTTGTATTTTTAATGCAAATAAATATGTTTAACTGCTATTCAAGTAAGTACTAAATAGTAAATCTTATTTTGTCATCAAGTTTTCATGAATTGAAAAATAATTATCAAATAAGTATTATTTATAGTAAATTATAGTTTAAATTTTATAATAAAAATCACAATCAAATACCTGATAGCATAAGTATTTTTGGCGAATTGATAGCACCGGCCGACACAATCACTTCCCTCCTGGCCTTCACTGTATACCTCTTAAACATGCGGTCAAACTCCACACCCACCGCACGTTTATCACCATCAAACAGCACCCTGGTCACATACGATTTAGTCAACACATGCAAATTCTTACGGCCCGCCAGTGGCTCCAGATAGGCCTTGGCTACGGACAGTCGGGCGCCATCTCTGGTATTAATCTGGGGTATCGTAAACACCGACTGAATCGGACCATTAATGTCACCCACGGGTACGCCCGAGTGCTGGCCGGCGCTCAAAAACACGTGCGACATAACCCGGGGATTATTCAACGTGCTAACAGTCATGGGCCCGCCCACACCATGGTAACCATTGGCCACCATAGCCGGGTCCTGATTGTCTTCGGACTTGATAAAGTAGGGAAACACTTCGGGCCACGACCAGCCCAGCGCCCCATTGGCCGACCACTGATCATAATCGCGTGAATTACCCCTACAATAGACCATTGTGTTTATGGTCGATGTGCCGCCCATCACGCGACCCCTGGGCCATAGGCTGCGGCGCCCCTTCATGCCCAGGCAGGCGCCCTTTTGGGGGACTGTTTCAAATGACCAGTCCATTGGGGTCATTTGCAAGTTTAGACTGTTCATGGGCACATCTGACACTATGTTTTCAGCTTTGCCCGCCTCCAGCAGCAGTACAGTGACGTGCGGGTCCTCCGAGAGTCGGGCGGCCATCACCGACCCGGCAGTGCCCGCGCCGATGACCACGTAGTCGTACTGGTCATCCCATGTGAGCCGTTTGACGTACAACTCGTGCCGGAGCTGCGCTTTTAGGATAATAGCGATGAACACCGGTATGAGTGGCAGGAGTTTAAGACTAGATCCGGAGGCCAACAGAGCTCTGGCCAACTGTTGGCTAATGAGTATTATCTGGTGGTGAATGTGATGAGACATTTTGGGTGGCGATGGATGTGATCCAGAGGTATGGATGCGATGAGCGAGAGGATAGGGTGGCTGTATATGTGTGGTGTGATCACCGGTTATGGGTGCACTTTATTTTGTGAGCGATTATCATGCACATTATAATGAGACACAACTAGCCTGTTTACTTTGACTATTCACCAAGTTTTTATGATTTTAATTTTTACTCACAAACACAGATAATAACATGATTAACAAACTATCAACATTAAATATTGCAGATATTTTATTATGGTACATATCATGATGAAAGTAGATATAGTAATTTTAATTGATATTTAAAAAGGATTTATAAAATGAGTATAATTATACAGTATAGTAAATTAGTAAGTGTTTATTCAGCAAAGCACTTGGTTGAAATGAATTATAAAAACTTTTATCCATAAAAACTGAAGCAAATCAAGTGTTGGTTTTCAAAAGTCTTGCCCTAAATCTCAACACAAACTAAGAATATAAAGTGAAAAGTGAGTGAAAAAATGCTTTTCTTCTTCTTCTATAACAACAAAACTAAACAAAACTTTATTTTTCAACAAATAGTTGTTTTGATTTCAATCCCTAAACCTGTGGACCCGTTAAGGGATAGGTGTGTGTGTGTAGTGAGCGCCGGGAGTTGCGACCCACAAATAGCCAATGAATAGCCTTTTGATATGTATAATGTTTATCAAAGAATTTCTCTATAAATAAATCGGTTTTACTTTATATTAAAGTAAAAAAATAATGATTAGTTTTTTGAGAATATTTTTTAATTTTACTCTAAATATAAACATAGTTTACTATCGATTAACTATCTCTCTCTCTCTCTCTCTCTCTCTCTCTCTCTGCCGA